AAGCGGCATGGGTTTCACCAGATGGGTGAACTAAAAATCAAATAGATATTATCTCAATCTCGAGAATATGGAGCCGTAGCTTACTGGATGCAAAATGGACAAGAAGAGAAAATGTGAACTCAGAACACTATCTAATTGGACAACTCTTAAAGATCAGTTTGAAAACCTGCAGAAAAGCTGGAAATAGGCCACAATTGAAGTTTAATACTCAGAAAGAGAAGGACAATGTTACAAACGACACCTGCACTGCAATCACCAGGGTAGAGTTTGAGGCGTTGGGTAGCATCACTGAAGAAACACGTGTGGAGCGTCGAAGGAAACTGCTTTAGACATCACAGACAATAAGAAGATGCAGGATATGAAATTGCTCACTGCAAACACCTGGAGGCCGATAGGGGAGTGAAAGATGGTGAAATAGAAGATGAACCAGTGCAAAGATGAACAGCGAAAGGAGAAGTTGAGTTCAGTGTACATCGCACTGAACGAAGCAGTGAAGAAGAATGCTAGGAAGGACAAAAGACGATTCTACAACACAATGGAAACTGAAGCAGAACAGGCGGGCCACAGGTAAAAGAGACCTCAGATGGCCATACCAGATAACCAGGTGCCTATGAAGGAAAGGATCCACACAGACGGAACCAATGGAAGATAGTAGAGGGAACCCAATTATAAAAGAGACAAGGCAAAGGTAAAATGGACTGACCACGTTAAAGGACTCTTGCACCGACCACCACCTACATTTCATTCAGAAATACCACCAACAGCCGCAGAACTGCCAGTGGACACCAATCCTCCAACAAGTGCCGAAGTCTTGAATGCAGCCAAACTACTGAGGGCAGCAGGACCAATTGGAGTTCTTCATGAAGCAGTGAAGCCGCACCCAGAGGCCTTAACGGATATGCTCACGCCCCTATCTCAGAAAGTCTGGAAGGAAAGTAAAGTACCTATGGATTGAAAGAAAGGCTACCTTGTCGAAACACCTTGTCAAAGAAGGGCGATTTAGGATTTCTCAGGAGCTGGCACAAAATCATACTCTGGTCTACATCAACCAGGATATTCAGTCATGTGATTCTGGGAAGACTAAAGTGTGCTGTAGGTGCGAAACGCCAGTCGGAACAGGCTGGATTCGGGGAAATCAAATCATGTTCGAACCGATTTGCAGCGCTATGCGTTATCGTCGAACAGAGTGTGGGGTGATAGTCGAGTCTCTACGTCAACCTCATCGACTTTGAGAGGGCTTTCAAGTGTGGAGTGGTTTGGAAACTGCTTCAATGTTATCGTGATCATTCAGCAGCTGTATGATATTGCCACATATTTAGCATTTAAATCAAGACAGGAGACAAAACAGTCCAAGTTTCCTTCGCAATAAAACGACTGAAATTCGATCTATGTGTTCAAAAAGAATCTGTCATAGTACTTCAATTACCCTGATAATTTTCTTCTTAATAACTCTTTCTCTTCTGATATCATCATTTTCCCAGCCTCTACATTTTTATTTTGACTTTCATATATGTTTGACTTAATTTTTGATCGTTTGAATTCTACTTACAGTATTACATGATCATCTTTTCATTCGACTTCGTCCACACCAAATTTTTAGTTTCCACTGTTACGAGTTCTGATCACTGTATTTTCTTATCTACGATTATGCAATTATAACTGACTTATTACCATCCTAACAAGAAAACCGCTCATTTTAAAGGAGGAAATTCTCTGTTATAATATACGGACAAAATTAAACTTTGAGCACCACTAACTACCAATCAGGGAATGACCTCGAACGCACCAGTCTCGTGTTTAAAAAAATGCATAAAAACTGTAGAAAAGTGTTACAGAGGATGCCTTCCTCTCACATGTGATAAAAATAGCTCTCAGTTTTAGGTTGGAGTATTATTTACTGAGCAATAAATTGTGCTTTAAACGTCATCATCAGTAAACTTTACTGCATAGCACTGTGACACTTTATCAAAATAAATTTTACCCACAATGGAATTATACTCTATCACAGTGTACAAGTTCTATTCTTATATCAACAGAGTAATTTAACCACATTCTATGCATGTAATTATTTAAGTCTTCTAACCCTAACAATAAGCCTAATCTTTCCTGAACCTAACCCTAACGTGAAAATATCCCTAAACTAACTGTAATATAACTTGAACCAACCCTAATGTCTCCTTTATTAGGTTAACCTAACCCTAACTTGTCCTTGGCCTAAATCGTAACTTAATCTTTCCCAATCCTAAGCTGAAACTTGCCAGGTATCCCATTTCATAACATAACACTTCGATGAGCATATTTTATTAATGATGACAACATTATCTGACAGGTTTCACTAACTTGCTCAGTGCGAGCTTCAAGGTCATTGGTGTGGTTGCACTTCACTGGTAGTTAGTGGTGCTTAGAGTCTAACTTGGCCAATATATTTATTTATATACTAATAATTTGAGATCACCTTTTCGTGCTTTGTTTAGTTTCACTGTAACTTACGATAATCCTTATAGGAGGACTGATTCCTGATGATAAACAAATTGGGTTGTACTCAGCTGACGAGTACCGATGAAATAAAATGGATCCGTATTATTCTGCTCAAATGATTGCTCTATCTGTGTTCAAAGAAGACAAGGTTGCCTACTATCATTCATGATATTCCTGATTTTGGTGGCTGGATCATGCATCATACCGTGGAGAATGGGAAGACATACACACGTTGGACCGACAAGAAGACTAGAAGATCTGGACTCCCAGGATAATTTCTGTTCATTATCACCTAAACTCGAAAATCTAGAGGCCGGAAAGCAGTAGGTTGGCAGAAGAGGCAGCAAAGATAGGATTTAAGGTGAATGTAGAGAAAACAGAGGTGATGAAGATAACTAGTGAACAACAAGAAGCACTAATCACTATCGACGGAAGAATTTGAAAGTGATCACTTCTTTCATTTATAGGTGGCACAGATGAGGATAACAAAGCCAACTAGGAACGAGAAAGCAAACACAGACCTTCATTACTCAGAAACCAGTGTGGAAATCTGCTGTAATAATCATAAGGAATAAGATTCTGGTTTCCAGCAGTAATGTCAAGTCAGTTCTTCTGTATGCTTTTGAGAGTTGGCGCAACACTAGGCTGTAGACTTGTATCTAGAGCTACCTAAGCCCTATACTAAAGATCAGATGACTGTCCAGTAAAGATAAGCAACAAGGAGCTCTGTCGACCAACTAACCAAGAAACATGCCGAAAGAAATGGAGATGGGTCGGACACATACTAGGGAGACCGCTGTGTGACATCACGCACCAGGTCCTTCAGTGGAATCTGAATTGGAAGAGACGAGTTGGGTGTTCAAGGGTGATACGGAGGAAACTGTTTGAGGAGGATATGAGAGCTTATGCGCTAGCTAAAATGGACTGCAGTGAATAAAAAGAAATAGAGATGTGCTGTTAAAGGTGAATGTTTCAGTCGGAACCCAAGGGAATAATAATCCCTTCGCACCATTAGGCTTAACTTTGTAGGATTCTTATGAAGTTTTGTCACTTGAATCAACTACGTGTACTACAGGTGAGCGGAGTGTGATGTCTTGCTAACTAGCATTCAGAGATATGTTGGAAAATCACCTGCTTCTTCTGTTGGCCTATATAAATATTTGTTAGCATCAAGGAGTTGCTGAATTGATTTCTCCTACAGTTTAGATGTGACAATCGACTGCCTCAGCGGACAGATCAGTTTTTTACCTATCTAACTGATGAATGTCTATTCCACTAGTTAGTGACTAAACGTCAGGGGACTACACTTATTGATCAGTTTGTATGATTGTGATACAATGCAGAAAATAAACGCATGTTTTTATTTTAGGGATTTAACTTATGAGGCAGTTGGACTACGAATTGTTCAGGTAGGTAAATTAATTCATGATTTAAACCATCTGTGAAATATTTCACAATATTCATTAACTTTTACATCAAATAAAGTCGAAGTAAACTGAAAGGCGGCTATCTGCTTCAAGAAAATTTCTGTCTGTTGCTTATTGGGCACTTGTCTTTTATTTTGCAGTTTACAACTTAACTAATTCCGCTTCGTGTAAACAACTGATAGATATCGGATTGTGTTTTTACTATCTGACACCAGTATCGTTATAAAGACAACTGGTTTCCGAGAAGTACTTTTTTTTCCTTCACGTTCCCCAGTGGAACAAAGGGCTTCAAGCTAGTGGCTTGAAGTTTCTGTAGCAGTGTTTATTTTTACAGGATGGGGTTGCTTGCCTCATGCCCAACCTTTCCTCTTCACCAGCATTATTTCTGGCTTAGTGAGGTGAAGGAGTGCGTCGGTGGCCGGGGATCGAACCCCGGACCATGTGCATGGTCGGCGAGCGTCCTAACCGGTATGCCACCGACGCACAAGTACTAGGTAGTTGTTTTTCTCTTTGTCTACCTTAGGACTCTTAGGAAATAAACATCAGTCATTTTGAGTGTAGCGAAGCCGAGAATATTCAGATTTCGCTGTCCACGTATTGCCTTTTGGCCACTGGTTAAATAATTATTGTGCTTCCACATCTCCGTAACCACACAAGCTATTCTTGTACTTTTTGTTTAATACAAAATCTGCATCGAACACCCAATGTACCTAGCTCGCCGGCAGCTAGGTGAACTGGTATACATACACAGAGTTGGTCAGTTGCAAGATCTTATCCTTCAGGTTATGTGAATGAAATGGCAGACTGGAGAACACTACTCTCAATGATACGGCAAGGAATATCGTTTTCGGGAATTTCGCTATTGTTTTAAGAATATCGGGGGCTAGGTCACCTTTGAATTAGAAGTTCATATACAGTAATAATATACAACAACCGTTGTATCCATTGTCACAAGTGAGTAAAACTCTTAAATGCAACTAGAGTAACAGAATTTGGCTGGTTGTGTAGTTTTATTTCTGATCATTCTGCTTTCCCTAGCCAAGATTATACTGAATAGATAATTGACGTCAAAGTAAAAATTAATCAAAAGTATACTTGAAATAGATAAAATGTGAATTTTATTTGAATGCATGTATATATGGTTTATGTGTATACATGCAAACGTAATGTATTTTAACAATGGTGATTATGATAGCGACAATAATAATAGTAATAATAATAATAATGTTGATAATAATATTAATAGGAATAATAACAATGATAGCAGTAATAAGAGGAATGAAGGATATACAAACTTTTTATTCTACTAATCTAATTATATAAACGAATTTTGCGATAAATTAATTAGAAATTGTAAAAAGTGTATTCTGTCAGTGATAACAAATCCAAGGTGTTTAGTGTTTAGTGAATTTTGTCGTGTTCAATGTTCACTGTATTGGTAAACACTGAATTCATAACAGATTGCACACCTTCGTTTTGTTTTTTTAAATTTTTAATAAGCGATTACTAATTATAATTAGATATAATTATATGAATATGATTTGTACATTTCACAACCTGAGGGGTATACACGTTTGAGGGAGTCGTTGAGATTGTTTAAAATCTCTTTTATAGCAGATATAGTTTAAATTTCAAATATAAATATATATTCAGTATAAATATATGTATATAATAATTAATATAAACAAAGGTTTTGACACACTGAAGTATATAAAAATGACAGAAATGAGTATATATATATATATATATAAGGTGTTAGTAATAATTTAGTATAAAATAAAATGTTATTAATGACTTTTCTTGACCTAATTCATCTGTAGTTATAAGGAGTGTTTTTGTATGAAATCCGTATTATTATATATTTCTGTAGTATTCAGCATAGGTTTGATTAAACTGTTATATAACAGTGTACATAAGTGAAAGTATTGCTACTATATTATTATCTTCAATTTTCATTAAATTTCTCTCTACGTATCATCAAATGACTAAAGAGCAAGAAAATAGCCTTTAGATCACTAAGTAGTATCTTTTTATCACAAAACTAAAAGATATTAAGGAAAACTTGTTTCGGTAATATTTATAAATAAATCTGGTTAACTTCTTTTCGAGATAACTGTTTTGTAGATAAGCTATTGGAGAAAATATGATAAACAAAGCTCACAGGAGGATAAGAGAAATCAAAATAAATATTCTTGTTTCAATGAGTGAAAAAAAAGTAATCTGATGGCGCTAAAAATATGTTATTTGACTTTTGTGTAAAATAATTCTTTTCAAGAGTTAATAATAGTTATTGATAATGTTATGGATAGTGATAATAATAATAATTAACCAGTAACATTTAGACCAACTTCAGCACCAAGTGATTTAGCTATACTCCATTCGACTGGTTCATTTGACGGTTCTTTAGACAATGTAGGATTAGAGAGGACTAAATCACGCATTTCAGTCAATGCTGAATCAAGCATTTCAGCAAACTTAACAGCATTATTATCTGGATTTGTACGCCAACACGAGATACTGACAACTATATTGTCAGGGTGTGGATTATATGCTGCTCCGTATCCGTTAGGTACAACAGCTCCATAACACATAAATGCATCCATTGTTGTAGGTACCTAAAGTTGAAATGAAAAGAATAAAACAGTAAAGATTTAGTCAGTAATAATTTTAAATTTATTTATCGATTACTTTCGAGAATAAAAAAATACTTTGACAAGTTTATCACTTGCACAATCTAATTAGACGGTTTGCTTATCTATTCATTCTGACTGTTTCACGCAGTTATTCAAGTCCAGGTTTTAACCATTATTCTTAAAAATAATGAAACAGATTAAGGCAGGTTAGCCTAATTTATCAAAAGAGGAACAATTTCGGTGTACTTGTGTTCTTTGAGCTCGATGGTTTATTTGTCTGAGGTGTTCAGTCTTCTATTTTGCAATGTTGAATCATTCATGTAAACAGTGAGATTACTGGGCAAAAAACATGTCTGAATGTGGGTGGGAACTATCTGTTGCAGTCCTAAATCGTTAAGTGGATACTGATGTTGTAATGGGTGGCTATTAAAAATGATATGGCAATGTGGATGGCAACAGAATTCGAACTAGCTGTTTTCGGATGACTAGTCTTACTCTCTGTACTTCATGCAAAAGTCACATATAATGAGATGAATAATGCAACAACAGTGAGTAAATTATCTTCAAGGGTTTTGTTTTAATTAATCACACACTGTTGTACAGTAATATTTACTGATGACGTTTCGACCACAAATTATTGCTCATAATCATTTCAAGTCTCGATATGATATGACTTGATATGATTATGAGCAATAGTTTGTGCTCGAAATGTAATCAGCTAATATTACTGTATAGCACTGTGTGATTTATCAAAATAAAATCTTATCCATAACGGAGTTATACTCTACCACAGTGCCCAAGTTTTATACTTATATCTTCAAGGATGTTATATAACGCCACCTAGTTTAACTTTACGCTTGTCACCTAGGTAATTAATAAGGTTAAGTCCTTTTCATCGAACTTTCTATTTATGAAATATTTGAATTGATCAGTTCTGGTTATGAGACCTTCAGTTAATCATACAGAGATCCAGCTTACAGTTAAGTACCAAGTTCTATGATTTGTTTCTTCTGAATAATTTCAAGTACAGGGTGTTTCACTTAGTGAATAACATTCTCTATTACTTCTGACATATTCGTTTAGCTACTTATAAGTAGCTAACTCCACTGTAAGAAATATTTACCCTCAATTTTGTAGTGTTACTACATTTTCATTGGTTTGTAGGTAAAACTACTTGAGATAGGTGGAGTTTGTATAACTGAAATTCCTGTAATAGTATAACAGCCTAGAGGCCAAGTTTAAATCAATAAATACCCTCAGGATTGGGTAATACACAAGTGATTTGTGGGATAACAACAGGTAATTAGTCCGTCGAAGTCCTTAGTTCCAGTTAAAGTTTATTTCTGAAGTTTTCAAAGTAGGCATTAAGCTAAGATTTCGAATTTTTCCTTCATTATTTTCTACAAATTAAGATACTTTCCTCAAAAGAATCGAGAGGAAAACTTGGGAGGCACATGCACACTGTAAGGAATCCAATCAAAACGCATACTAGTTCTTTTTGGTGAAATATTTTTTTAAAACATATATTTCCACTTAGCTTTTGTGGCGATATTTACAGTTAAGAGACACGTCTAACCAGTCTATAAATAGTATAATATCCAAATACGTACTGGCCATAGTCTGACATGTCGTCCTTTAAAATGTGAGTGCTACATTTATTTGTTAACTGAAATAACCACGTTCGACCAGAACGTGCCTATACACTTTTTGGGTGTTTGGGTAGAAAAATGATTGCTAGAAAAGAATGAATTATTAGCAGATTCAACGTAGTAATATTCAAATAGCCAGTAAATATGATATTATATCTAACTGACGAAAGCAGCTTGACTTCACTTGACACAATTGATTAAGAATTAAAGGACTGTACGGCGCTGATTGATAAAACTTGTGCTGTATGTCTGGTGCTTCATCTGGCAAGCTAGTTCATTTGACGCAAGCAAAGTAAACATTTAAGATACCAAAAAGTCTAAGGAAGTAAATTGCAACCAGGAATAACACACATTAAATCAAGTCAAATCAGTGTTTTCCTACTTCAGAGATTAAAACTCTCGGCACAGAATAATATCACATAAGTAAAATAACCGAATTTTGTGATTATGTTTTTCTGTCTTTAATAGTTCTTGTATTATGTACTGCCTATACATATACTTTAATCTTTAATAGAAAAATGTACTGTATTTCACCTCCTGTAGTCTGATTGAAATACAATATTCAAGTATTGGTCTGTAAGGATTTTATGATTGGTTACAGGATTTCGTCACGAGCTGACATCGGTTAGAGAACCATTGAAAAACCTGAAGGGAGTACTGGATAGCTGTTTCGTCCTAGTTTGGGACTGTTCATCAGTACTCAACCACCGGAGTTCGAACCCACGACCTACTGGTTACAAGGCGTGCCCGTAGACCAGTGAGCCACTGGGACCCGATCCAATGGCCCATGAATCCCAACTTCTGCCAATTCACGACATAGCGCAGCCGATAGCCAATGCCTTCGGCGAGTATTTTTCCTCACACCCGACCTGCTGTACCCTACTGGTCACGACTTCCCACTAGAACAATAGTTTTCTGCTATTTTTAAGGTTATTCTATATTTGCTATCTGGTCATTTTTTCCATCTATCATGGCGCCTAGGAATTACAATTTTGAGATGACGAGAAGGAATATTAGCAGTCTATTTCTGTTATATTACATCTGTTTATACAATCATTTATTTTATTATTCTTAGTAATGTAACTCAGAATGACAAAGCAGACTTAACGATCAAAAACATTCATCCCATAGAATGTGTTGTAACAGTTTAAAAAAAATAATATCCCTCGTTTTATTTTAGTTTAAAACTTGCCGGAATGTGATTCAAACATTTGGGAAATCTTCTCATTCTTTTTCATCTCTTAAACTGTTATATTTTTCACTTCATTTTCAGTTCATGCATGCATGAACTGAAGAAGTCTCTTTGTATACGCACGTATGGACAATTATATACGTATATATATATATATGATGATGTTCAAGTGCTTACTAATCAACTCATGAAGATGTGTGTGTGTATTCCTTGTTTAAATCACACAGAATTGTCAATAGTTTCAAGAAATATAAATTAATTACTCTATTCTTTCTTATCTTTTCACAGAAGTGGATAACTATTATTCATTTAAATAATTTTCTATTGGAAAAGGTCGCGAGAAAAAATAATAATGAATGCATTTCCATGAATTCGTAATTGTTATTATCATTATTTTTCCTTTTCTCTGACGTAATGACTGAAAAGGCGATGTGAAGAGGCATGCAGTTAATTCGTGCCTGATCACTTAACACGAACAATTCGAGTTTACCTACATAGATTCTATAGATTTTTAATTTTCCCAAGACAATGGTTATTATACAGTAATAAAAAAGATATTTTATATTTTTCAGGAAAATTTGCATAATTTCTCAAATATACGTGCTTCCATTGAATTTGTACTGACTCAAATTGTCTGGTCTGATAGTTTCACGTTTTTGTGCATAAAGTTTCCGTTGTCCATGGCTTACTGGCCTTTGATGATCCTCTAACTGATGTTGTTTTGTGAAGCGTCAATGAAGTTCAGGTTCGCAACTAATGGACTAGATATTCTCCAACAAATGTAGAATTATCCAATAGAAGAAAGACATCTGAGATATCAGCACATGCAAATCAGTCCGAAGTGGAAAATTATGATCATTTTAGAAAAGACCTTAATAAGTAAAATTAATGAGTAAGGATAAACCAACAAAGAACTAGCATAACAATTAAATGACAGATATGAATTAATAGTCATAAGCTAGAAGACTGTTAAGTCTAAGAAGAATAAACAGTTATTAATTTGAGCCACACACACATACAGGAAAGGCACCATTTGTGTAATCTAATTCATTTAATTTTATTCCTTTACTTTCCCAGTGGAAAATAGGGCTTCAAGCTAGAGGCTTGAAGTTTCGGTGCTTATTTTTACGGGATAGGGTTGTTAGCCTCATGCTTAACCTTCCCTCTTTACCCATCTTATTACTGGCTTAGCAAGTTTCAGGATTACGTTGGCCGTGGATGGAACCCGGTGTACCACCGACGCACCATCATTTATGTGGCCATCAGAAATAGACCTGATTACGACATGTGGAAGAAACTGTCTATTTCATGATTTTTCACTTGCTGAAAATTGACTCTGAGAAATTATAAGGTTCGCCAGTTGACTTCCTGTGAAAAATTGTTACTTCGACAGAATGCACAGAATCACTGTAGACCAATTCCAAACTTTTGCTCGAAATTACACTGATTAAAGTAGCCACAATAACTTTGCGTATATCTTATTGTTTATATTTTGAAGTAATGACTTAAAAAGTTGTGATTTCTTAAAAATAATCCTTTTTACCGTTTGTAGGAAATTGTTCTTTCACTAATTTAGAATTATAGCCCGAACAGTTTCCTCCTTGTTTTAGGTCAATAGCGATTTGAAATTATGAAAAAAACCAAATAATGGCCTGATGAACATTGAACAGCGTTGTCTTAAATTTCGAAGTTTAGAAATATGGTCTCGAATTTCTTTGGGCTCATCAGTTATGTGCATCTTCTGAATAAAAGAAATTAGTATTACCCTTTGCAGTGTTGACGTATGTCAATCAGTTTTCAGATCAAAAACAGATCCCTTGTAGGAGTGGATCAAATAGACAAATTTTTCACTGGGTGTAGAGTTAGTGGTGCAGTTTAAAAATCCGTCGTTAAGTGAAACATTTTAGTTTTAGAGAAGGTACGAATTCCTTTTAAAGACACTTCACTAAGGAGCGTTAAAACGCACAAGAAATCAAACCAAAAAGAGTTGTGTTGATAACTGTCTTCTAACATTTACTAAGAAAACAAATTGTATCATCTTAGATCTCACAGTGTTATTTCACTTAATCTAATTGTAGTGTTCCAATTGATCTGAAGGACTTCATTCATCAACATCGTGTGACAAATTTGTGCATGCTAAATGATCAAGTTTCATGACAAAAGTCATTTGTAACAGTTTCAACGACTCATGATCGAATTAACTGAGGTGGCTAGTTAATTCCCAGTAATAGTGATGGATATCTGGTAGGAGAATTGACTTTCCAGATTTCAGATTAATTTATTCACTTTAAGAATAATTACCGTCGATTAAACTACAAACATCTCTATCCAATAGAATTTATATCTACATAGCTGTCTACCTTTCTGTTGTTATCATTCCTTAAGAAAGGTGGATTACCTATCGTTCTAACGAATTCATTTTGTGTACATATAACTGGTGTCAGTTGATGGTTCAGCTGTAGAATACTTATCAGCCACTCATGTGGCCTAGGGTTCGATCTCAGGCTGACCTCACTTAGACGGTTATAAGCCCGGTAAAGAGAGAAATGAACACCATTGCTATAGAAACTTCTAGACTGAAGCTTGAAGCACTATATTCCACTCGGAAAGCGAGGGATTAAAACTTTATAAAACATATAATTGGTAGACATTTGTAAAAATCATATTTGTAAAATCTCAGTGAAATTGAAATTAGTAATTCCAACGTTTCGTTCGGCAAACTGGTCCGAACTTCTTCAGGGAAATTAATCGTGGTTTAAATATAAAATGGACAGCACCTTACGCTCATCACTGGTGAAGGTTAGGTATAAAACAGAAGGAGACCAACTGGATTGTGTGTACCAGATCAACTGTGGGGACTGTTGCGCCGTATATGTAGTAGAAACTTCCAGACAGATAAATATAAGAGTGAAAGAGAATAAACAATGCCTAAAGGTGTTTCCAAAGACCTCTGCAGACTTAAAGAAGCTAGAAAACAGATCAGCAATTGCACTGCATTCGATAGAAACGGGACACAAAATCGACTTTGTTAGGACTAAGTTTCTACAGAAAGGTTTTGGTTCGTATAAAGAAAGACTGACTGTGGAAGCCCTACATATATGGGTGAATCCCAACAGTTTGAACAGACATGAAGGTGTGATGTTAGCTGATGCATGGCAAATCCTGATTAATAAATAAAAAATGGATGTGTATCAACAATTAATCATACTTGATCCAAATTCCCGATTGTCTATATCTTCTTATGGAGAGGCTGACACATGTGTTACAACTGTTTACCCATACACACCTAAACACACACACCATTGTTTGCTGCATATACACATATATTTCCATATTCAGTTATCTACGACCATAAACTTGTAGTCGAACAAAATCTGATAAAAAGTACACTCTGTTTGAATTGTTTAACAAAAGTAGGCTAATATTTGAAAGTCTGAAGTCACATTTTTGATCACAGCTCATACAGTTTTGTTTATCATACATGTTGATGCCTGTTTCATGACTCATATGACTGGACAAAGTTTTTAAAAACAAGAGATGTCCTTTTTAAGTATAAATCTCTGTTATGTTAATTTCGATTGATTTCCCTGAAGAAGTTCGGACCAGTTTGCTGAACGAAACGTTGGAACTACTAGTTTCAATTTCACTGAGATTTTACAAATATAATTTTTACAGATGTCTACTTCTCACTTGGCGCTCAATTATTTTGGAACTATTCGGTCAAATCTTGATCACAGTTTATATACATATAATTGGTTATTTAACATTTCTGGTTTTTGGTGTTACCAAAAGTTATTTAAAACTTTGTTTTCAAGAGTTGGTTTGTAAGGATTAGATTTGTTTTTACGAGTTTTACCACGGATTGATATCAGTTAGAGAACCATTGAAAACCAGGGAGTACTAGACAGCTGTTTCATCTTGTTTGGGAATCATCGGTAGTACGCACCCACTGAGGTTCGAACTCAGGACCTTCTGGTTGCAAGGCGAGTGAGCTCGTGGACCATTAAACCACTGGGACCCGATTCAGTGGTCCATGAATTCCAACTTCTACCAGTTCGTGATTTAGCGTGACCACCAACCAATGTCTTCGGTGGGAAATCCATCCTCACACTTCACTGGTTGGACCTCACTGGTCACCACTTCTCAAGATTCAAAGTCATGTGATTATAATTGATATGATTATGAACAATAAATTTTGTTCGAAACGTCATCCAGTAAATAATACTGTTTCACTGTGTGATACACTTAATAAACAAACTAAGATGGAATTTGTATGGAATTCATTGTATGCAATGATTTGAGTCACGCTTCGTCTCTATTAGACTCTTTCAACAATGTACACAAAAGCATCACTTTCACGATGGAGCATGAAGATGATGAAAAATTCTATTTTTTGGACGGAAAGCTGGAGAGAAAATACTACAGGACACTCAAAAGATCTGTATACCGTAAAGACATATGGAGTGGTGTTTACTTGAATTTCAACAGCTTCTGCCCAGTGAGATACAAACGAACGCTGGTGAAAACGCTTTTCTCTAGAGCGAAGAGAATATGTTCACCAAACAAACTAGACAGTGAACTAATGCTTCTTGAAAAATGCTTGAAAGAAAATGGTTACCCACAAAGTTTCATTAACAAATATGGCAAGAATGAACTCAAGAAGCTTGATACAGGTACAGTCAGTAAGAAGCCTATTTTCATCAAACTCGACTACAAGGGCGACGACATTATGAGAATGGTAAATAAAAGATTAAGCGCAGCCCTGTCTAGGACGTATCCTGCAGCATTATTAGTCTCTCTACCTCGAATAACCTCCTCACTGGTGCAGTCAAAGATTGACAAGTACCCCTCACATGTTACCTCCAACTGTGTATACCAATTCACATGTATCTGCGGGAGCAGTTACATTGGAAGAACAGAGAGGAGGGCCTACGTCAGATTCTGCGAACATGTACCAAGGAGCCTCCGGTTAAAGGGACCGAATTGTTTAAGCTCTTCAATTGCCAAACACCTGATTGACACAGGACACCGAGTAGATGTACTGGAATCATTCAAAATAATTAACAGACAAAGTACCTCAAGTCTTCTCAGGTTTGCTGAAGCTATAGCAATAAAACGATTGAAGCCTGACTTATGTGTCCAAAAAGAATCCGTTGTTGGACTTCAATTACCCTGGTGACTCACTTCTTAGTAACCCTTTGTTTTCTAATTTTGTTAACTTATCTTTTCACTCCCCCCATTTATTTTTCGCTTGACTCTCTTAAGGGATAATTTTTCTTGATCTTCTGACTTCTTCTCACTGCATTATATCATCAACTTCTCATCTGACCTCAAGTGCACCGAAATCTTCTCTTATCTAATTACGTAACTATTACTAATTGTCTTTTGTTACCACCCCAACAACACAACTGTTAATTAATTTTTTCAAGAAACTTCTCTCTAACAAGATATATATATATAACACTTTAGACACCTTGTAAATCACAATGCCTTATTTCACTGTGACGCCCTGACAATATGCTTGCTAATGGACAAAAGTTTGTTAAAATTGTACACTTTTTTAAAATTTTATTAAAGAATTCAGGTTGTACGCAGCTGATGAGAACCGACGAAATAAAATGCATCCAGATTATTCTGCGCGCCAATGTTTCTTCTTTCTTTGTTCAAATTTATAAAAAGGGAATCATTGTATGTAATATGGAATTACTTACTACCACAGTGCACAAGTTTTACACAGACATTAGGATTCTTCATACTTTAAAGTTCCAGTAGCGGTAGTGTTGTATCTAGTGGGAAGGTGTTACTGGCTATTGGCTAATAAACTAACCAAGGTTTAAAAGTGCGTGGGCTGAGAATTGAGACCGGATCACCTGTGTAGCTGACAAGCATTATGCCACCGAGCTACTAATTATCTGAAACAGTAGTCACTAAATTTGAAAGGAATCCCAAGTTATGCAAGAATTCAAATCAATGGCGTCCACCTTACTAATCAAGCAAAAGTTTCAAGACTTGACAGGTGAGGGAATAACTGTGGTAAATTTATTTTAGCTTTATCCATAAAGATCCTGGCAAGTAGCTGCTGGACGGTTGGTTCGACTTCCTTTATAATCAAAGTTTTATTTCAGCTCTAGTCATCATCACGTACTACACTTTAACTATGCAATACAAATAAAAGAGAATCTTTCAACAATCAAAGACTTACTTGACTTGTAGATAAACGAAATCTATTCGATTCCATATAACTCGGATCTTTGAAAATATTTGGCAGTTGTCTTCCGTGAGCTAAAGCTATCTGTCGTAGACCCAATAAGTGGTTGTCCACTCCATGACCTAGGATAGTTTCAAGCATAATTTCAGTTTGCCATTCCATTGCTTTACGCAGTAGGCGAATTCTATCATCATTCTAAACAAACAAACAAAAAAAAATACATACTGCAATCTACAATTTGGACAGAAAACGTGGAAAAATGGTTTCATTTTTTATCTTGTTATCTGTTCTGCGTGGGTAACAGATTTATCATTCACACAAAGCTGACACTTGGGTGATCAACGAAGCTAAAATGAGATATTATGTTTGAATTTATAGTTCTCGCGATGGCGAAACTGTCATTCTCTTAGATGACAATCAGGCAGAGACCATGTATTAATGTCATTGAAATCATCACATGTTTTAGATCTCTTTTAAGTGAATCATTGACACATAATTCTCTTCTGATTATTTTGTTATCATTAAGACGCAGACGGACATCTTAATCCAGATTGAATTCAGAGAAGGAAAAGGGATTACAAAATAGTATAATTCACTGAATTTTGAATACACTGTGCAGATGGTTTAAATTTTGCTAATTATTGTTTTATTTATCACAGTTTCAGTTTGAGAGCATTCATATATATATTATGCTGCTTCTTTTGGCGGTTGTAGTGAGTGACACTTCATTATCTTTAGGTGGATATGTCTGTGTCTCAATTAGTGATTTTGTTCCATTCGAAACTTCAACGCGGCATTCATCATCAAATGTGTCAGTTATCCACTGGACTACAGAGTCTTTACAGACACTTCTTATGAAGCGCACACTTTTCAAACGCATCTCTGAACATTATCCGGCACGGTTAGCAAAGGGACAATGCAAGACAATTACTAGCTCAATTATCGAGCATTTAGTGAACTCAGGCCACGTAGCTCCACTAGAGTCATCTTTCAAGATCATCTACAAGGTGAGGCCAAATGGTACAAAGGGCGTCAGGTTTCGACTTTTGTGTATGGCGGAGGCGTTGGCAATTCGTCAATACAACCCCGAACTCTGTATACAGAAAAAGCTTGTCCAGTCTCTTATTCTACCTTGGTCTTAACCTCTTCACTAGTCGTTCCTTGTAAAACATTTTGATTTTTTCTTTTCTTCTTTAATTTTTAATTTTACTTTTAGTTTGCTTTTGCTTTAATAATTAATTCACTATTATCACTCTCATATGCTCCTTTTGTACATTTTCACACCCTCTTCACACTTGTTAAATTGACACTCAACTACCTTTATTCTCATTCAATAGCAATTTTAACCTTATCAAATTTCTATCTTTGTGCCGTTGAGTACCACGTAATTTATAACTTTTAATTTTCACTTCTAAAGCCACTTCTGAGTAATTATATCAATTATGTCACCCTCTATTACTCAATAATAGACCACTATATATTTTTGGTAAGTATAAATACGACTGTACAGCCTCTGAAGATGATTTCATCGATAAAGGAAATTTTCTTCACTGAATTTATTTTTTATTTTTTTAATATTTGTAATTTCCCGTTTGTATTTCCTTATTATATGGAAAAGTTTTAAAATGGGGCATATCGGCCTTCTAAAGGGACTAGGAACATTACCACTTACTGAAGGCTGGTATCCTCAACTGGTGAACTCCTAGCCTAGACAAAATTCGTGTCCTGTATTCCACCTCCAACTGCTACCAAAATAAGTAATACGAAGTTGGAAATCAAGACATAGTGTTGTTGCATAGTTTCTGAAAGCTCACATGCCGGAATGGAGTTGATGCACTCCGGAGATATACATGAAGTCTCAAGTGGTAACTTATAATAGCACCTATACATCACAGCCTGAGTTCTGGAACTATGCAGGCCTTACTTCACATTCATATTTCTGTCAAAATAGACAGTATTTCTTAAGTACTATAATCAACTCATATTTTGATTTTAAATATGGCAAACTGTAATACCTTATAACGGCTGTAACTGACAAAATCAAAGTATCATCTTTCAAGACTGCAACTGGTAATCGATGCCTAACATGTTCAATGTTTAGTGGTTCCACAAATTTAACAAAAGTTGATAGATGATGTTTCCGAGAATATGAAAGCATTTATCAGGTTATTTACTCAATGTTAGACGTTTTATAGGCCAGTTGTTTTTTTTCCACAGGACTTTAATTCAAAACTGTAATATTTCCCGGATTTATTACTACCTGTCGGGGTAGTGAATGACAGCCTTGACTCTCGGTGGTTGGAGGGAATTTCCAGTGAGTTGTGCGCCAAACTTCCATGCTTGTTATCACTCTGCAGTAAGGCATAACTAAAAACTGAAGTCAGAAATGTTAACAATGAGTTATACGGTTTCACCATGGACTGCCTGCAGGATTCTAATCGATACCTTGACTGGCCACTAGAGATTGCATAACGTCATGTGTCGAATTCTTAGTGTTGGTGTTGATTGAATTTCCAAGTGGTTGTGTTTGTAGGGAGGGATCTAATTGGTTTTAAGACAGATTTTATCCCAAACCAACATTACTTAAAGATCCATTGAAAACCAACGAACTGGAGGAAATTATAATTCGCAGGCGATTAGATTCCAGTTCATTGAATCAGAGGTCAAAGTGCTTGTATAGAAATCCGGCGGTCACAGTTGCGATCTCTAATAGTACTGCATACTGCTGAAGAGTCCTACATCAGCATGAAACAGTTGTCTAGTATTCCATGGTTTTCAATGGTTTAAAAAAAATTAATGTTCATTTATCGATGCAATCTACTTCGAAATAAGATTGACTCACTGAACATTTTGTTTGACCTGTCATTGCTTTACACCATTCCAGAGCTGGAGTTGAACACGCTCTAATATTGTCAACACGAGCTAATGCGAATCGTCTTGTTGAAGCACTTTCGTAAGTTGGAACCAGATAGTTATGCAGCCTAAAGTTTGAAGAAAAGAAGATTAAATTATTCAGAGAAATAGTAGATTAATTCATACTTTTAAGATGTGTAAAATTTATCATTGTGTAATGGTTTTCTCATTCTTGTGGAAGCCAGAAGATTGTGTGCTACATTCTATGACATTATGCGTTAGACTAGTAAGTTGTAACATTCACACTTTAATAAATGATTATAAGTCTGTTTTCACAGGCTGCGTATTGTTTCACGAAAGTGATTCACTTCTTCAAATTGATCACCTCCGATTATTTTATGAGCTTTATGTATAAACACTTTTATGTTGTCTGTAATCAAGTCTTCGTTATACATGTACTAAGAGTTGGCTGGTCATTTCATTAGCATAAATGAGAAATGGTAGGTGCAGCGGGTGGGGGACAGAAATCTTTGATTCTCCATGACAGAAAAAGTTATTCTCATCATTTTTTTGCTCATTATATCCTTGCGATAAAGTTCTAATAGGTCATTATTTTTCTTTTCGCCGCTGTAACCTTGAACTTCATTACACTTCATATTGTTATTTTAGGTTGTAAACTGTTACATTAATGTACTTTGATTGGAGCGTTGACTGATTATAACGAAAGTCAAAAAACCCTAATTAGTTTATATTAATTCTCCCTACAACGTCTATTTATTTGCCTACTTTAATCACCTCACTCAAGTGTTTGGGGATATTTTGTATTCAAAACAGTTGATGCCTGTAATAAATTTGAACAGAATTACTACTAAAAGATGGTGTTTACCTGAAAAATGAAATGTATCTGCGCCAAACATTTCTAATAGTCTGATCACTTCTCAACTCAATTTGTGTCAGAAAAGTGACATCCGCTTGGATTCTGTATAAGTGTCAGTTTCTAACGGACGACCTCTTGGAAGCGCTTATTATGACAGCTAGACTGGAGATTATGTTCCCGATAATTTTTTTTGAAGTGGGGTATACTCATTCCTGCTTTCCAAATTCAGTTAGTTCTTAATGTATTCATGATATGGTTTGGTATCATAAATAAGTACATACCGTTTCTCACTACTTGATAAACTTATGATTATCTATGATATTATATAGGTTTTTGTAACTAATAAAACAATTTGGTTGATGGTGGTTAAGAGTGGACTTCATGACGCAAGTCTCCTCCTCCATCTTAGTCATTATTCCCGTTGAAACTCGAATGTGGCACACATTCTTTAAAACACTACGGTGTTATCCACTAGTCTACTGATACACGACATGCACTTCTTGTTCACTAGAGGAATTCAGAAAGACTCGATAAATAACAACTGACACCAGCTGCGAAAAAGAAGGAGGTCAGTAGCCTAGTGCATACTGTTTTGGTGTTTAGAAAGACGTTTGCGCTAGGTTCGAGTCTCAAGGGGAACATGAGTGCAGGAACATCAAGCTGACAAGTCCGAAATAGGAATAAAAAGTGCTTCCTAGATTTCATTGTTGGCCACTATAAGCCAAATAAAAACAGGTGCTATATTTCTTTATGAATATTAATAACTGAGAACCAGTTCTCTGAAAAGAGTAAAGATTGGTTTCCTCGTCATATGTTGAAAGAGATACAGCTAAACAAATATTTTATCCCACTTAAAATATTATTTTTATGTGATGCAAAAGAACAATATTTTTGTTTTGGGAAATTAAATCTGAAAAAAGAAAATATTCTTTTTAGCATGATAAACTACTTTTCAAAAACATTTTTTGAAATATAGGAACAAGGGTTATGCAAAGTCGGAAACTTACTTGAAATGTGCTAATTGTAAAGCTAATTGAATAAATGAGTCTGGACTCATGTTAACTGTTTTAGGGAATTCACGTCCGAATTTCTTATAACGTAGTATGTATAAGTCAAGATCATCAGCTATTCTAAAAGACAAAGTCATAGGAAATTAATTATCCCTTTAAGTTGACATAATACATTCGTAATTTTGACATATTAATATGATTATTATTCGCTTTGGTAATTATGACAGAGGTATCAGGAACTATCCTGTACAGGTAGATCAAATTCAGGAACTGACCAATAAAAATATACCAAGAATTCGGTTATTAGTTGGAGGATTTCATCATGAGCTGACATCGGTTAGAGAACCATTGGAAAACCAGTGGGACTCTTCACAGCATGCATCCACTAGGGTTCGAATCCAAGACCTTATGGTTACAAGGCGAGCTCGTAGACCACTAAGCCACTGGGACCCTATCCAATGGCCCAAACTAGGACGAAACAGCTGTCCAGTACTCCATGGTTTTCCAGTGGCTCTCTAACCGATGCCATCTCCTGATGAAATCCTCCAACCAATCAAACAAAATCCCATCAAACCAATACCTGAAAATTCGGTTATTAATTTGTGGTCAACTTACTTCTATGTTACGAAGTTAAAAGTCTTTCTATTTTTTAAGAATACCTATCAAAGTGTAATATACATTCATCGGTAATATTATAAGGCAGTTTATCATGTAATTATCAGATTTACTGGTTAGACAGAAGTCTCTTACCACTATATTTAGTAAGGAAAATTGATCGATTTATGGGAGTTTGTTAGCACATTTTAATTTTTGTGATGTTTACAGGCAGAGGTGTGGCTCATTGGCCTAAGCACGAGAATTCCAGTGAATAGACCCAGGATTGGAGTCTTGTTCGTACTATTTTAGCCTAGGTAACTGGGTAGTATCCTCAGGTCTCATACAGTAAGCATGGCTTATAACTCGGTACTAGGCAACTGAATTCTAAGAGAGTCTTTTCCACAGCGCATTCTAGTCTGACTCTTAGCTCTGCTCAAACAAAATAAATTACTGATGTAAAATCACATTTCATCTGTTAAAATATTAACGACTTGTGGTTTGTTAAGAATTAACAAATATTTAGGCTTTTTAGGTTTAATCTTAAGAGAAAAAATGACTTGAAATAGACATTTTTTTCCACTTTCTTTCTACATCATGATGTTGTACTAAGTTTAATGTAATTTGCTACATTCTTTCTTTTCATGTTCTATACCTTTTTGTGGTTTTCACTTGTATATCTTGTATTTCTTTGACTTTAGGTTATAAAGGTAAGTCTTCTTTTGCCTTGCTAACGGAAGCTGGAATTCCTCAAGGTGGTATTCTGTTTCCTCTTCTTTTTTCTTTCTTCTTAAATGACCTCTTTCTCTTTCGGAAGATGATCTGACTGTCTCGTTGCCAGTTACTTCCCGACCTGACTGTTCCAAACTTAATAGCTTTCTGTCGGAAATCAGCTAGTGGTCTAAGCTAATTGGTCTTACCTTAAATCTCTATAAATGTCAGACAGTTAACTTTACATTCAGGCTTATACGACTAAACTGGTCCGTTCACATGATGCTTGTAGCGTAGCTAGAAACTCAGTCTAACATAAAATACCCTGGAATAGTTCTATCCTCGGACGTTTCTCAGCCATCCTATATCTTGTCTATTTCTAAGAAAATGTTTCGTCTAACCCACAACATTAGGAAGTTAAAACGATCAGTGGTATCACTCAACCTCTACTTTTAAAGTTTGTTAACTCTTTCATCTTCCCTGTCGTTCTTTATCGCTCTCTCTTATTATTTCCTCGGTTACTCAAAAATGACTGTGGAATATTGCGTAGAGTGTTAAAGGTTATAGTAGGCAAGTTTTTTTTATTCCTTCACGTTCCCCAGTGGAACATAGGGCTTCAAGCTAGTGGCTTGAAGTTTCTGTAGCAGTTTATTTTTATTTTTACAGGATGGGGTTGCTAGCCTCATGCCCAACCTTTCCTCTTTACCAACTTTATTACTGGCTTAGCGAGGTAAAGGAGTGCGCCGGCCGGAGATCGAACCCCGGACCATGTGCATGGTCGGCGAGCGTCCTAACCGCTATGCCACCGACGCACAGTAGGGCAAGTGATGTGACACTAAGTCAGCTCGTTACTGTTGTAGCCGACAGACACCTGAACTCATGTGAGAAAATGGTCTAAATCCATACTGTCTGACTCTTAACACCCTCTCTATTCAAAACTCTCGCCTTGCAAATCTCATCAGGTAGGACTAGAAGTCATTACAAAAGATTATATGGTCGCACAGCTAAACACAATAACTCAAAGATACCTGATTTGGCCTATGTTTCGTATGACAGAGTTAAGCGTGGAACCTATAACTTACTATGTGAACAGCAAAATATTTGGCTCTTTTAACTTTCTCTTATTTGTAATTTATGGTAATACTATTTCAATTATGCTATAATTTCAGTTATTATTTTACATCTTCTGCATATTTATGACTTTGTTGTCACTGCTGAAACCAAAAACTGCTATTATAAATTCTGGTTCCTATACCTGTAATATTATTTCTTCTGTTACTGTTGTCGAGTAAATTAGATGTAATATTGTACCAAATGCTGAGAATTCCACCTTGTATCATAAGTACTGTTTTGGAATAAACCAAAACATTATTACTGAACTCCTTGTCTATTACATCCTCTTGTTTATTCGCGCATCGGTAGTTCAGCGATAGAACGCCCGCTAACTACTCACGTGGTCCGGAGATCAACCCTCAGCTGATGCACTCGTAAACCTCACTGAGCCGGTAATGAGGCAGGTAAAAAGCGAAGGCTGGGCGTGAGGCTAGCAACCCGGTCTCATAAAAATAAACACCACTGCTACCGAAACTTCAAAACTCTAGCTTGAAGCCCTACTTTCCACCCGGAAAGTAAAGAAATACAATAATAATAATGTCTGTACCAAATTTTTCATATTTCCCTGAATTCATTCAAGTACATAGTTGTCAGTGTCCCTCCTAAAGTGCATTTATGAAAACAAAGTTAAGAAAGGCTTATATGATTTATTTTATGAAAAGTTTATCTAAGCCTGATTCGATTTAATAGTGAACATAGTGGATAGATGACAAGTGCTTCGTTCTATTTCATCCAATCTAAGGTTCATTTATTCACAGCCATAAAACCACTGTAATATAAACCTTTAATATCACTTGAATTTAATGGGTTAACTGTGATAGATGAGTAATGTTGAGAAGTGATAAACAGGTGCCAGTAATTCTACCATTAGTAGGCTATAGGTGCCCAGTATTTTTGTTTTAACTGATTCAAAGAAAAATCGGTGCAATTATTTCAAATTACCGAAATTGAAATCATAAGCTCTTGAATTCTCATCCAGTTACAGAATGACACTGATCTTGATTTGCTGAAACGTATGCCTTATATACCTACTTAAGTATGCTCAAGTTAGGTAATTCTTGATTTCCAGATGAATAACACTGCGACCTGTGAGAAACTTACATTCAAGATATTTTTCACCACGAATTGAATGGATCTCTGACTAAGAAATATCAGTACTGCTATAAAATTTTCAAAGAAGAAACTGAGGAATAATGGAGGAAACTAGTGATGCTGTAGATTTTCATTTATTTAATTGATAATGACAAGTATCACTGTTCGGATCAAAACCATTGAAGTAAAATTAGTCAGCAAACGACAAAAGAATCTTCTAGTTTTTATAGGAAGTTGTACTATCAGCCAGTAAAGTCATTTAATGTACGCTAGTTTTTAACTTCATAAGGTGACTTCATCACAAGGCAAGCAAAAGAATTCTGTGGTTATGCGATTCCTTCATCTAAACTTTCTATACTTTGTAAACTTCTGGTATCAGTGACTCACTCAGTGTTTAATTCCACCACACAACATGTCCTTTCTAATAACACTGTTTTAGTTTAATTCTGTTAGTTCTTCTGTCTTTTAGTGATATGAAGTATGTGGATGAAGTTATACAAGTTTTACATATTTTCTCCTGCTAGTCAGTAAACGTGGAATTCAGTTTCAAAGCTAACCTATATCACTTATGAAACCATTGGAAACCAGAGGACATTATAGCAGTTTTCTTATCCAGACGTAGGACTCTTCATCAGTAGGCAACCATGACTTTATTGAGGATCAGATCCACTATTTTTACACTGCACGCCAAGCACAGTAACATTCGGCCACCACGGCTCATGAATTCTGACTTCTTCCATTTGAGAGTGGCTCATGTAGTATATGTCTGTTCTAAAGAGCAATAATAATTCTTCTGAGAATTGAATCTGCCATCTGTTCATTCAAACGAATTGTTTACTTTGATGCTCGACCATCACTTATTCTGTAGGTATTCATTTCTACCGGTTGTAATCATAACTGTAATGTGATAAGGATTTCTTCTTTCTAATTCACGTTTTAAAAACTGAGAAATTACTGTTGATGCGAGTAATACTTCAAGACCGGTTAGCTTTCTTTTTAAATAAATTATTAAATAAAAGAAGACTCAATAGGAAAACTTTATCCTATAAATTCTTCTTCTCTCAGTGTATGTGTATCTTTCATGTGAATTACTTGGAAATTCAAATTATGCGTTGATTATGTTTTTTTTTGTTTTCGTATTTTGAAAATGCATGAATATAATCTTAACTTAGTTAAACTTTTTAAATTAAAACTTATCTAAAAACTGCATAGATTAAATGTTTCAAAAAACTTTATTCATCGTTTTACTGGTATAAATTACTGGATGGTTTAATTAAATTATGATTTTCAAGGTTTAGTTAATTTAACTAAAGGAGATTCCGTTAGCTGAACAATAAATAATCAAAGGAAATAATAAGAAACAGAAGTTCTAATGCAGTATGTTTAGTGTTCAACAGTTGAAGTTAACCCGGTAGGCAGCTTTTACCTTAAGTTTGGCGCTCATTGGCAGCAAGGCATATCTGTAATTTGAGGGGATCGATATCTTTTTAGGCATTCCAACGTGTATCATACATTACTGCTGTCGCACAAATGGATTAAGTGAAATTAACGCCTTTTAAACATGAATGAAGATAATAGTTAGTTTGAAGTTTTAAATGTGGAACAGATTTTGTTATTGGTATTTGTTTTTTTTTTTATTCCTTTACGTTCCCAGTGGAACGTGGGGCTTCAAGCTAGAGACTTGAAGTTTCAGTAGCAGTAGCGTTTATTCTTACGGGATGGGGTTGCTAGCCTCGTGCACAGTGTTCCCTCTTAACCAGTCTTATTACTGGCTTAGCGAGGTAAAGGAGTGCGTCAGCTGGAGATTGAACCCCGGAACACATGAGGCGTGGTTGGCGAGCATTCTGCCGCTGTGCCACCGACGCGTTGTTATTTGTAATTTTGCAAAACTCATACTACGAATAAAGCGAATGAAATTTTTAACGCTTGTTCGCATTTAAAGTTGTTGTAGGTGCTTTACATTTGTATGCTTACCATAGATAGACCTGTTGAAGTTTTGTTTTCTTATGTATGTTTTTAAAATATCACATATTAGAATGTAGAATTATACACTTGGAATGCATCATCTGTTTACCTAAAACATATAACCAGTAGTAGTGTGGTGAGTGCTACTTATAATCAGATATAAGTAGTATATCAGTAAGCGAATTCAGAAAAGTAACAATATGTTTTGGACACTAGAAAAAGGCAATCGAAGAAGAGAACTGTGCACAATCGAACAAGCTATCGAATGTTGTGATATTCGACCAATTTGCAAATGATGTGCAAATAAAGCATTAAAGATATGGTATACAAAATTAAGTACCTACAATGCGTTTGTCCTAATAGACATTACCTTCGAGCCTCATGGGTCTTTTCCTCTTTTTACAGTAGTAGTATTACAGGCAAACGGGAAACATTTAGTGAATGATTTTCAACAGTCAGTGAAATCTAACATATAACGATTCCAAGATCTCCAATGGTAAGTTGATTTCATAATGAAGAATAAATTAGAAAGACTGATTAGTTTAGTTTGGGATAAGACAATTTTCAACTTTTCCACTAAACAACTCCAAAAAGAGGTAATTACTTAAGAGTACGCCATAGGCAGTAATTGACACACGCCGAGGAGCCGCTGGGTGACATCACGCGTCAGGCCATAGCTCGAGTGGAACCCGAAAAGGAAGCGGCGAGTGGGACGTCAGTGCAAGGGTGACATGGAGGAGATCGTGTGAAGAAGAGTTGAAACAGCATGGACTAACATGGATGCAAGTGAAAAGTACAGCAGAAGACAGAAGCAAGTAAAGACGTGCAGTTGAAGCCCTATGTTCCACTAGGAACCCAAGGGAATAATAATAATAGGCAGTAATTGTCCATTGGTCTGTTTCACTCTGTTATGACTGTGCACACGCAAAAAAATGATACCTAGAAAATTATTTCATAACAATTCATTATTCAGTGATCTTTTGTGCAAACAGATTGGTGGGCAAGATCAAAATGTAGCTTAAATATAGTTGTTTCTGCCTGCGACTAACTTGATCTCAAACTTCATCATATTCTTACGATAAGGCCCTCAGTAGTGGTTTACTACCTATCAGTAAATATGCATTGGAGTGATCTTTTTCGGTGTTACAATTATCTGGAGAATAAGATGAGGGTGAACAGAGTACATGTAAACAATGATTTATTTAAAAAAATATTTATTTATATCAGTAGGCAACATAGAGGTTCTTACTTGTCAATTTCATTCAGAGCGTAATTAATCATTGATTTTGTGTTGTTGTCCAGATTCCACTTCAATCTTCTTGGAAATGCCAATTCACAAACAGATGGGAATCGAACTAACTTCCATCGTTTTACTTCTTTCCTATAATTTAAACAGATATTACTGTTATTGTCTCTTGCATACAAATATGTGTTTTCAATGCAAGTAATCATCTTATAATTCAGAAATTATGATGTCTTAAAATTGTGTAATAGTACTACTGCCGGAACAGGCTGGATTCAGGAGAAACAAGTCATGTATTGATCAAATCGCCACACTACGGATCATCATTGAACAAAGCTTGGAATGGTAGTCACCTCTCTATCTCAACTTCATCGACTTTGAAAAGGCCTTCGACAGCGTCGATCGAGAGGTGATTTGGAAACTACTTCGCTACTACCGGGTGCCACCGACAATTATACATCTCATCCAACAGTTGTACGACAACGCTGCATGCCAAGTAATCCACAACGGGAAACTCACGGAATCCTTCGAAGTGAAGACGGGAGTAAGACAAGCTGTCTACTATCTCCAATGATTTTCCTGATTGCAGTGGATTGGATAATGTGACAGACAGCGGGCAGTGAGGAAACAGGCATAATGAACACAAAAAACTTGGAGGATCCGGACTCCGCCAATGTGATATATGTTTGATTTCCCACAAACTGGAAGATATGCAAGTGAATAGGCAACAAGTTGTCCGAAGAAGCATCCAGAGAAAATAGGACTTCAGGTGAACATAGAGAAAACAGAGGTGATGAAGATTCCTGGCCAACAGCAACAGCAGCAACAACAGATGACAATCAGCCAGCATGAATGGGAGAAATCTGAAAGAAGCAACCTCCTTTACCTACCGATACGGGAGGCATCGTTTCAACTACAGGTGGACGGAACTGATGAGGATATCAAAGCGAGGATCGGAAAAGCAAGGCAAGCTTTCATTACTCTCAAGTCTGTGTGGAGATCAACAGCACTCAGCATGAAAAATAAGATCCAGATTTTCAACTTCAATGTGAAGTCAATGCTACTACGCGGATCAGAGACTTGGCGCCGCGTCACGAAGGGCACTTCGAACAAACTACAGACCTTCATTAACAGTTGTCTTCGCTCAATACTCAAGATCAGATGGCCGGCCAGAAAAGATCAGCAACAGGGATCTCTAGGAACGAGCCAACCAAGAATCAATTGTGCAACAAATAGGCAGGAAGAAATGGAGGTGGATTGGCCATACTCTGAGAAAACCATCAAGTAACATCACTAGACAAGCCATTGCTCGAGTGGAACCCGAAAGGGAAGCGTAGAGTTGGTCGTCAGTGCAAGGGTGACTTGGAGGAGGTCATGTGAAGAGGAGATGAAAGCGTGTGGGCAGACTTGGAGCCAGGTGAAGACTCTAGCAGAGAACCGAACGCAATGGAGACGTGCGGCTGAAGTCCTATGTTCCTCTAGGAATTAAAGGAAACTATAATAATAATATTAGTATAATTGTTAGTACAGGTGGGATCATAGCAATTGATTGTAATCGGCTGAATAATAGTGGTATTGGAATAAAATACAATGAACACCATGAAAGTCTTAAGTCATACATTGATTTCACAATTTCCAAATAATACCATCGATTCCGTTTTGTCCTTCTTTGCTTATTGCCTATTAGATTCTTCTCGGTGTTTTTACCTTCTCCTTGAGTTTCTTCTTCGTTGGCTTTCCCTCTGACACAAATTATCATTATTTCGCCGATACACTACACTACTCACATCTATTTGCAAGTAGTAAGTATTGGTAACAGTAGTAATACCGAGGTCTACTTAGTCAGATATCTACTATTCTGTTAACATGGGTTAATTTTGGGCGATGAAATACAAATAAACACTAATCTTTCAAAATAGGAATCATAAAAGAATCTGAATTTATCCAAATCAAGAGTATTACACACAATTCAGTAAACAAAACTAAATACTCAAAACCACTTGGTGAAGTGGGAGCTTTCTGCTATAGTGATTCAAAGTTGAAATTTGTTGGATTCGTAGAATTAGTCAAACAAAATTCATAGTTTGATGGTTTTCACCCAGGCTATAGACATATAGAGATTCCTTAAAGTGACACAACATGAGTTGTTTACACTGAGGTAAAATCATGATTTTCTTTGGATAATAACCTTTATCTAGCTGTCATCAGAAAGCACTTTAGTCACTTCATAGACTTTTGTCTGCTTATCGACACGAAATTCAACCAGCCATTACATGAGAAGCAATGTAATCTGCCAAAAAGTGCCGAAGATAATTATTACTGTTAGTAAGACATCGTCAGAGACAACTTGATGCAAATTAAGCATCTAATGAGTTTTCAGTAATAGTCACGCTCAGTAGTAATGCCGCTGGAACTGTAACAGACTGATGACTGAGATGATTTCATTTCATCTTTTACTGAGACTGAAGTTCTACTTCGAACTCAGCCATCTCTCCTGAGTAGTTATTTAGTTTCTCAGGAAGAGTTTTAGAACGATAAACGGTATTTTGAAGCTAGAAACACTGAACATGAAGACCTGAGCTTGGAAAGCCACAAAACTACTTACATAGACTACACTAAAAATTCACCGGTTAATACATTATTGTTTTTGCCTCGTTATTCTTTGAAATCACATGTCATTCGTGGTAATTTAGGCAATGTTTAAAATAACATCTATGGCCTAAGGGTATCAACTACTTGAGCCTTTAATGAAAATATTTTTATTCTGAAATATTTATAACAGAATATGGTACATCTTTAAAAATGTGATCCTTGATCAGTGTTTTCTAACTGGTCAACTTCTAAGCAGAAGAATGATTATGAACACTTTGTTAGTATATTTTAACTTGGATTAGAATATTCATAGTTCAGGTGAACAGTCCATCAGATAAGTAAATATGGTTACCTTTCAAGTTGAGAATATACATTTTATAAATAATTTCTTCTGAAAATCTGTTCTGGTCGTCAGTGTACTGAATGACAGATAGTGAAGTCTTGATGACTAAATCATACAACTCATAATGTGCCCAAAACAATACAGGCTACCCATCCACTGATTTAGTCTTATTCAGCCTATAAAGCTGACTTTGTTCTCAAGTAATCTCTCATTTTTTTGTAACTTGTATATCGTTAACCCTACTTTGTAATATTCTAAATTCTTCAACTTTAAGATTCTGTGTAAGAATATATACATCAAGATAATTGAGCTAACAATCAAGTCAGTGATTTACTTATGAAGTGATCTAAATTTTCGAATCTTCAGTCCTTTCTGTAGTCTAGTCAAGTCGGAAGTGTATTGCCTTTACGAATCTTACCTAATGTTGTGGTGCAACACAAATTATTATTAATATGAAGCATAATGTTTGCATAACTTACTGATTGATGTAAATAAAATACAATAGTTTTATACTGACTTACATGTACTGTAGAATGTGTTCAATCAGACGTACAACAGCGATGCCTTCAGCGACAGAATGTTCATAGTTTAGACCACAATTACCGTCACGTGATATAATAAACTGAAAATTAATTCAAAATATTGTATTTATTCTTGATTTGACTGTAAAACTTTTTCAAGATGAATACTTTTAATGACATTTGATACTAGTATTACGTAATAACTCTTCGCTAAGACTATCAGAACTAATTAGATAGATAGATAGTAAAGTGTGTAGAAAAAGATCTGTTTGCTGGGTACTTTTGTTTTATTGTACCGGTAGTTTTGTTTCCAGAGTTTCAGCAACTGTTTCAATAACGTTTTAAGTCCAATCTAAGAAGAAACTAAATCAAGCAAAAATTCCTTCTAAGGAGAAGAGTATACTGACGTTTTACCAAGAAAGTATACAATTCGGGCACTGTGGCAAAGTATAATTGCATATTAGAGCGTATATTTCGTCTCATGAATAGCAAATTGTGCTCGAAACTTTCTCCAGTTACCAGTTCTGTAGCACTGTGTTACACAAAATAAACTTATCTAATATGGATGCTATTTTGATTTATATTCATCTTCAATGAATCTCTCTTGTAAGTAACGACTGTTTGACTAAAAACTACTCTCAACGTTCAATACAGCATTAAGACGTCAGAAATACAGATCTAAGACAGAGAGAGAGGTAATAAAGAGTCGGTATAACACTGAAAGGTCAAATAAATATTCTCAATAAGTTAGAACTAGTTAAGAGCAAGAGAACAGGTAACAAATTAGACTGTTTTTCTGTCCAGTAAAGACTTCCTACAAAGGCTAATAGAAAGTGTGCATATTTCATTTCTGCTCAAAGAAGTTATGAAGATGATATCTAAACTGATATGGAAACTTCTACCTGTAAACTGGAAAAATCAAAAAGAAAGTAAACTAATACGAAAAGTCATAAAATTTACGATTATATCCAAGCTAAAAAATACTATTTCTGCATTCTTACAGATCGATGGTCACTGAGATAGGACTACGAATAAAGTCAGCTTATGACTATTTTATTCATCCAAGTGGAGGACAGCTTTTAATTTGTTCATTAAAGGTACTCAGTGTAAAATGTGAAACGCTTGAATGAAAGTACATCAGGATATTAAAGTGACATTTCAGCTGAAAATTATTAACGTAGAAGTGTTCATTACCAATAACCGTCTGATGTACCACATCTACAGTTATTAGAATGTAATTTGAAGGGAAAAGAAATACGGAAATAACATAAACGATAGTTTTGAAGAATTATAGGACAAAAAATGAAGTGAAATAGCGAATCAATGAGTGTTAAAGTGCACACAGGCTAAAAGAATCATGCATTCTAAGTATATCTGCACTATTTCAATTTTTAAGAGTTAGTTTGTACGGATTTCATTTGTTTCAAGTGTGATCACCTACTGATATCAGTTAGGGAGGCATTGGATACGAGGGAGTACTGGACGACTGTTTATTTCTAGTTTGAGACTCTCCAGCAGTACTCATCCTTGACCTCACAAGAGATCAAACCCAGGACCTCCAGGTTATGAGGCGAGGTCGATGGCTACTCCAATGGCCCACTTTGCAATTTTAGCCAGTGATTATGAGCCTTTGAAACGGAGGATATAATTAATGGAAGGCAAAAATGTATATTAATAAATTCACAGACGAGAGAAGTGTGTGCGCCTGCAACCAGTGATATTATGTATCCTACTAAAAGCATAATATTTTCGTACTCCTGTTAGACGGATCATTATAAAATAAATCTAAACGAAAATGCAACAGCCCACAGATATAACGACAGGAAATATAGTAGACAGTATAAAAGTAAAATTTAGAAAGTTTTAACGGATAGATTTTGAAAAAATCCGTTAATTTCAAAATTTTCGAACATTGTGGATTCGAGGATCAGGGCATCAATATGAAAATGTAAACATGAAAAATGGTATTCTGTTTTAAATATTTCTACTTTTGGTATCTGTTTCTTTAATAATGGACTGTCCTTGAATTTCATATGTATTTATTTATTTATTAAACGTCTCAAAAGAGAAATATGACGGCACTGTCTTCTGGATGACATTATGGACATAATTAGTTGTGTACATAACTACATCAAATACGCCCCATGTATTATACACTGAAGATTGTTGTTTCTCTATGCCATTTATCCACCTCACTGTCTGAGTTCTATTCTTAGTGGAAGCGGCTGCTGGAGTGCTAAGCGCACATTATTTGTCGGTAGTATTACAAGCAAATTCGGGTTAATCATAGTCATAATCAGGATACAAAATTTCCAAACGTTTGAGTACTTTCTGTATATATATGCATATTCAGTTCAACTGCATAAGATCATTTTTCATTCTTATACAGCAGCACATCTTTAAGATAAAGTGTTCATTGAAAATTGAAAAAATCCTTTCGCAATACGAATTTCTTTATGTGAATAAGTTTGTGGGCGTGCATGAGTGTGTGCGTATCTGCACACACGTTCATATACATTCTTGTTATATGTGTTTCGTTTATATTATTATTAGGTAAAGTAGAGGAAGGGAACAATTTATTTTTGCTTGCTTCTACACAAGCACACACAAATACACAAACCGATAAGAGGCATTATTATCCTCAATTCACTTGATGGATAAATCGAAGTGAAATAGCCTGAGTAAACTAACTTAACTGATTTTTATAAAAATTCTTCTCTTCATTCTAAGATTAATAGATTTCTGACTTGATAAACTACTCAGGTCTTTTTATCTGATAGAAAAAAGTTGTGATGATGCAGATAGAGTAGGCAGTAGTGTCGATACTACTTCAAGTGGTATATAAGTGTAGTAGTAGTAGTAATAATAATAATAGTATCAGTAGGCAGACAGTAAAACTTCCCTTACTGTCTCTACTAGCATTACTTCTGCTTTTCTCTCATGCCTCAATTCCCCTGTTGTTAGTTCAAGCATTCAATAGTTTTCATCTCTGTTACAAATACAAAACTTATAGATAGAATAAAATATAGTTGAACTAACTAACCAACTAACTAACCACCAAGAAAGATGTACTCAAAATAAATCAAACAGTCTATAATGTCAGATTTAATCTACTCATCTTGAATTACTCCCATGATACCCAGGCTTTTCTTATCTCTATAATATATATATTGAAATATAAGAGTGGAGTGAAGAGTAGGTTTAGTTGTTTGCTTATAAATTTTTTTTCGAAAAACTTATTATTTTCTTCTATGAAAAAACAAACAAACCATTTGAATTTTTGTTTTTGATATTCAGCCTTTCTTGTGAAAAAAAAGTTGAAGAGAAAAAAAATTTGTAAAAGGCGAAACCACACTTGTTTCTTTCTAGCTGTTAACCTTTAATCAGATGATTCCATCAAATGTCTATAGAACTGGGCATATATATATATCTACCCAAACACACACGCACACGCGCTTACACCTACACACGCAGACAAACCGACAACTAACATACAGCATACTGCTTACACAGAGTCCCACTCTTCAGTGTATAATCTCTATGAGGTACAAATTTTCACTATGAAATATTATCAATGCAGTGTGGGATGAACGATATATATATATATATGCATAATAGAATATACTCTGCGAAGGGAATTTTCCTTCCCATCAGCATTATTCAATTTTTTTTCTTTTTTGGTCGAGTCATTTTGATAATCTAATGACTAAAGAGTAAGGCATGCAGTTAAGCAATAAAATAGATGTTATATTCGCGTGATAATTCATGAGGCTACAAAAAAAATATATATATCAGGATGGTTTCAGTATGATAATAATTCTACTGAAGTATAAATTCTCAACGGAGTATAGCTGCTCCATAAACTGGTAAATAGAATGCATTATAACACAGTTTTTTTTATCACTTACTAAGAATTGACTTATTATGAGAAATTTGCTAAAATTTTAGCAAATTTCTCATAATTAATTAGCAGTACACTGTTTCACAAAAATTTTTAGAGAATTAAATATAGGTAGATGGTTTTTGAGCGCTGACTTACTCTGTGTATGGGACTTCTAACAATTCAAAGTATAATTTGATGATTACTGAATGTTATCCGAAGATAAATGCATTTGAAAGCGTCGTAAACTAGGACAAAATATCTGTCAAGCTGTCTAGCAGACAACCATTCATGCTTTGTTTGTATATAATATATATATATATATATTACCTTCACTTATGATGTGTTATTTCTTACAGGTTTGAAAAGTATTCAGACACTGTTTTAAGTCAGAAATAGCTAGGTTGATATTAGAGAAAACAGCTGGAAATCTTTTATCTTTCGCAGCAAAATAGCTTAACAATTATTGACCTAGATTATAGTGTATAACCTCAGGCTAACTGACCCAGAGTCCAATCCTTTCGGTATTTCTACTAGCTGTAACTCCAATTTAACCATTAACCACTATTCTCAAATTATATATATTTATACTTTTGTGAGTTAAATGTTATTTTGTTTCCTTACTATTGAGCACAGGGAGAGAAAATGAATTTACAATGTTGACAATGTGGGTCATCTTAAAATATAGTGTCGTAGTTACAGAGTATGAATCTCCGACAGTATCAACAGTTAGTGTATACATATGTTTAGCTTTAGTAAGTGTAGATTTCCGATTTCTGAGCTTTTTTTTTAATAATAATAATCACTTTATTCCACAACAATAACAATTTACAGCATGGAATTTTCAGCGTTTCATTTTACATATTGCAATGGTTTAGCTCTGTTTATAATTATATAAATGTATAAAATGTTAAAATATTGATAGTTAATAGGAAAAAAATAAAACCCCAACAAAATCACACCATTGCTAGGTCATAGTGAATAATAAATAAATAATATAACAAATAACACATGCAATTTTTTTAATGTCCGGGGACCAATGTGCATGCATCAATACATTTTATAGTTTAGTTAATGATTTAAAAGTTGTAAAAGTTCTTTTCTGATATTTGTCTCTTCACACAATACTCGTGCCAAATATGGTACGGTCGAATTTTTATATTTTGTAGTACGAGCATAAATGTTTATGAAATTTCTTCTGGTCTTACCCGAAGAGATACA